CTGGCGTTAGCGTTGGATAGCCTGGTGTTAGCATTGGATAGGCTGGCGTTAGCGTTGAATAGCCTGGGGTTAGCATTGGATAGGCTGGCGTTAGCGTTGAATAGCCTGGTGTTAGCATTGGATATGCTCAAGAACGCATATTGAGAAACGGCCCCTTTTTTTGTTTCTCTTTTATATTTTAGAAAACATAGCAATAAGAAGAAGCCATTTTGCAGCGCAGTCAGGTGACCTCAACCTACTATTCCTATTGGTGCAAAATCCTTTGTGTCGTTGTTGGCATGGTAACCAGACAGACAACTTTGTATATTGTGGACTCTAGGTTATTCATAAACCATATATTTTAGCAAAATTCTAATATTTTTTGTGCATCTAGACATTCTGTGGATGTTTTACATTTTAAAAAAGTTATCTTTAATAAAGTTGTTGCCATGACAATTTGATTTTCAGAAATCTTTAAGGTGTTAATATAAATACAGCTTTGTTTTACTAGTCTGGGCTAAATATCTTCATAAATTCTGAGCCTTTTTTTTAAATTCATGTCAATGATGGATAGAACTATCTTCCTAGACAGTGTTTATCTCTACGGTTAAAGGCGCATCTGTAGCACAAACCTCCACCATAGATCCACACCATCACTGAGAGGTTGTGGGGTCTGGGTGAGGAAGGCACCCAGACGTTTAGGTACAGGCAGTCCTCGCTCATGTCTCTGTTAGGATTCCACATCTCGGTGCCGTGGAAGCCGGGATACGTGGTGTCCACATACTGGAAGCAGGCGTTGGGGTAGGCGTTAGCCTCCAGAACCCCCGTCCATCTGCGCTTGGGCTCAGGGGGCCGGAAGCGCCGCTTGCCCAGAGGCGGCTCGGCGAAGGGGATGCCGAGGAAGGCGGTGACGTAGCTCCCGTCCGGCACCGGAAACTGCACGCCTCGAACGGCGCCGTTATGCGTAATAACAACGTCTCCGTTGTTTTGGGAGAAGCAGTGATGGATTAGAGAGAAAAGCAGGCCTGACAGGAAGAAGACGTGAGCGGAGAGCTGCATGGCGGAGGCAGAAAAATGCAGATGTGATTCTGTGTCCTTGGCAGGGAGAGCCGGGTCTGCTCTGCTTCACCTCAGACCTGCAGGAGACGCAGAGAGAGAGGCGTGTTATTACAACGACCACATTACGATTAAATCACAGCAGCGACGACGCAGAGAAAATCCTTAAAGATGACATCATCCACGGATCAACTCATCTAACAAGCAGGAAACCTTATGGGAAATAACTGATATAAAAACAGTATATTAACATTTCTATATAAATAAACGTTTTTACGAATTTATATTGGATTTTTCATGGAATTTCTACATATAGACATTATAATATACATGAATAGAATTTCAAAAGAGAGTAATTTATCTAATCTGGGCCCAACTGTACGGAGGACCAGCTCTACCATTTAAAAAAACAAATACAGTAATAAATAAATGCTCAAAAAAAAAAAATCCTACAATTAATTATCCCCAAAAAAACAATATACAAATAAATGTAGGTAGAATTTAAATCACACAGTGAGAAATAGACGTATATATCTCTCTTCATTAGCTTCTTTATTTATTCCCCTTTGTAATAATTACCTCATCTATTTAGTTGTTATAATATTTTTATCTGTTTTGCAGTAAAATGCTAACCAACCAATGGGCAGGAGGTGACCCTCTAAGCCCCGCCCCCTCCTCATATTCATAATGAGGCAGAAATAATATACTATCCTAACCCTCATGCTAGGAAGTCTGAGGTTCATCCAGAGTTTCTAATGGGCTTTCATGGTGCTTTGCTCCTCCTTTGTGTTAATTTTTCTAATAAATGTGGCGAGGCAATTTTAAAAAATCACCTATAAATCAGCAGCAGCAGCTTCCAGGTTAGCGCTCACAGAGCTCAGTGTTAAGTTAAAAGTTCTCTTTTCCGTTGCTGCTGTTCAATAAAAGTACGTTTTAAGATCATTAGAGGCGAGAATATTATACTTTAATCTTCACTATAAGGAACATTTACTGATTTAATGCATAATTTAAAAAAAGTTCAGATCTTCAGAGGACCGCGACAACCAGCGGAGCTCCGAGGATAACAGCAGCCAGGGCTAACGTCGGCCCGCCCGTCTGCAGCAACCAGGGCTAACGTTAGCCTGTCTGCAGCAGCCAGGGCTAACGTTAGCCCATCTGCAGCGGCCAGGGCTAATGTTAGCCAGTCTGCAGCAGCCAGGGCTAACGTTAGCCCGTCTGCAGCGGCCAGGGCTAATGTTAGCCAGTCTGCAGCAGCCAGGGCTAACGTTA